CTTCCTTGTACACATCACTGAACCTAAGACTAAGTTCTTACCCACGGCTATCTCCACCCAGCAGTTGCTTCTAAGTCCATCCTGAACATACCTGAACAGCCTTATTTGGGTTCCAACCGCATTGGTTTATCACCCCCAGCAAGTTCAAGGATTGCAATAGTAAAAAGGCAGATGCAAACTGCATGCTTTAAAATGTTTAAACCTTCGACCAACTGGTTTTCCTGGAGGGTTCCGGGCATGACCTTATATGAACTCCTAGGTTTAAAGCATTTTCTTGCATTATCTACCCAGCAAGCCATGTCAGGGGGTCGCATGAATGATTTAGAAGAGGGTATCTCTGTTTTCCTCGGACCTCCTTTATAGCCCTCTCTGCTATAGACAGGATATATGTTGAATATCAACCTTCCCGATATTGCGTCTCTGTTCTGACTAACTAGTGCGCAGACAATAAAGGCCTTTATCTACCTTGCACTTAAGAGGTGCTTAATTCAGCAGGTATTTCCGTTATATTTTAAAAAGGGGTTACATAAAATATCCGCAACGGAAAGATATGTATAGTATAAGTAGTTAGGTATATATGGTTATGCAGCTTGTCCTTCATGCAGCGAAGCCATGGGCCCCCCACAAAGCAGACGGGGATTCAACAAACGAGCCACGGTATATTGCTGCTTAAGGCCTGGATGCATTGTCAGATGGAGATGCAGAGCCCTGGAGCCGGCAGCCGGCAGGGTGACAGTCTTGGTTTTTTCTTTCTAGGCGACTAGCAGGCAGACAATCATGCCAACGATGATTAAGAGAGAAACATGCATCCCCTTCTTCCTAACCCTTGTTGCTGCCAGCGTATCTCCTCATGGGTCTACCTACCACTTGCATGGCTGGTAGGGGGTAATCGAGAAACATCGAATGATTTTTCTGCACTCCATGTGATCCCTTCATCTGCATATCTACTCTGTACATGCATTTATTTATACCTGCAATCGGCTAGAAGGTGACTCGGCAGCCCAATATAGATAGATGATTGCCAGTAAGTCCGGAGTACTTCGTAGTTAACCAGATGAACATGAAAAGAGTAAATCCATGCAGGGAGACAAGAGTTGGCCATGCAATCGGAAGATGCTGGACATAGAGCATAACCTCCGTAGTTAATTTCAATATGTCGAGCAAAAAGGCCCCCTGACCAGAGAGGATGGGTATTCCGAGCATCCTCCATCAGCAAACAATCTAATTCATGCACAAGCTCACATCTCACGTAGCAGACGGGCTTCTTTCCTTCATTCGTTAGACCCGGTTAGCTGTCGCCATGCTGCATGGATAGATTTCATCTCGTCTTGAGAAGTAAAAAAGAAACGAAGAAGACCATCGAGAGAGACACCGTGAACTTCGCCCCCACGGCTGCATCTCTCTTCAAGCCAAATCACCAAATAACGGGGTTGCGCCCCGCCTGGCTGCAATGGAAATGTACGGATGACCAACCGAGTCAATAGTAGCCCGTTTCTGGCTGTGTCTAGGTTGACTTGTGCTTGAGAACTGGCCTGCGTCAGAAAAGGACGACGGTCAGCAGCGAGCGTTGCCCAAGTGGCTTGATCTCCCTGGGAGGGCCTATCAGCCTGCCGATCTGTCGTCGCTAGTGGAGGATGGAACCATGGCCCCGAACTAGTTTTACGAGCTAGATGCAGTATGGGGGTGGGTGGAGGAGAAGGAGGAGGATTATTCTCTGCACATCTCGCATCGCCTTGAAGATGAAATCCTCGTTTTGCCAAAAGGGGGTTGGAAGCAGCGCCCCGAGATGGAGAAGTAGATACATAACCACACCCAGACAACATGCCGAAAACAAAAAACGAAGGAAAAAGAAAGGGGAGGAAGATCCAGATGGGGCTATCTTCTCTTCACTACTAGCGACGGAGTACTGGGAGGGTATCATTTCTTGAAGAGTGCTGAAATTAGACCCGGTTAGGAAGAGAGCTCGAGTCCCCTGCATCTGAATACGGAGAGTGGATGAGCAAACGGGGAGACACAAGATCAGCGGCAGAGAGACGATGGGGGACTGCGAACGGACATTGATCCCGAACTGGCTAACTCTCTCCCTGGGGCTGGCTGCCTCGCCGGGAGAAAAGAAAAGGGACGACGAGGCTGCGAGGTGAGTCGGGCGTCAAGTTGGTCAGCAATAGTCAGCCATCGCTGTACACGAGCAGCGCAGAGAAACCACATAAGATGCCATACATATAACACGGGCGTTAGGTATCCTAGCCTGCCTTTCCTCTTGTCTATCAATGCGACCAGCAGGCTGTACCACGTCTGGAAGTACGACCATTATCCGGATGCGAAGTAGAGTCGTCAAGGAGCTGATCAGTCTATAAATATTTGTATTGACTGTCACTATATACATTAAGGGGTATGGAGGAACGCATTTAAGAGCTGGTTCATCCAAACAGGTCTTTCTGGATGCACAGGTATAGTTCGTGTGCTCCAAGTTGGGTAAAATATTGGGGTTTTGTTGAACGTATATATAAATTCTGGGTATCAGTTTCGAAAGCGAGAATTTCATCATCCCATCAAAACGCAAGACACTCCCGCAAGTAAACCTCTATTGGTAAATGGTAAGGGGAGAAAAAAAGGTAAGCAAAAAAATGAGTAGGCCTCCAAATGCATCTTAAAACAACCCGCATGAGTACACGCAAAAAAAAGTATTCCGCCTCCCAGACAAGTATTTGAATGAAAACGCCTCCAAAAAAAAAAAAAAAAACAAAAACTACCTGCTTCGAGGATTTCAGCATGAAAAACGCCAGAGAAGTTAATTCGTCATTTTCATCCATCCCAAACGAAAAGGAGAAAGCAGACAAGCCGGTGAACGTAATACAAATGACACGAAAAAGGCATAGGCTGCAACGTAAAGTGTGGAGAAAAAAAAAATTGCCCAGCCTGCACAAAATAGATATTATGTAGGGGAAGAGAAAAGGCAGAGGAAAAGTAGCGATTGTATCAAGACACGTGTTGAAATGGAGAAGTGAGATCCATGAAATTCGTCAAACGCTGGCTGGAATGAGTAGAAATTGAAGAAAAGTTTCCGGAAAGTGGTGTTTTTTTCCTTCTTGGGAGCTTGTCAGCTAAAATCCAAACTGGAACCGTGGTGATGAAAAAAGTAGAATGGGCGCCCGTCCGTTAAAACTCCTTGGTATTGTTTTAGAGGGAGGGTCCATCGGAAGAATATTAAACTGGTTAAGAAACGTATATTCCGAAGCAGAGAAGGGTTAATTGAAAGGAGATTCGTTGGCGTAAAATTAAGATTCGAAGTCCAGGCGAAATTATGATTGAACGGTGATAGGCATGGGTTGCTCCAGAGGCCTATGTCGTGTGGTCAGCTTCTGCCCGGGGTGGTTTATAGGAATAAAAGAGCCCCAAAAGTTAGGTGGGATAACAGCAGGGGCGAAGCGATGTTGGAAATTGCTGATGGATTCAGTTGACGAGCATGATGAGACCGAGTCATCGTCAGACAAAGAGGTGTCTGAAACAGCGGAGCTGGAGTATTGTGGTTCGATGAGCTCTGCTGCTGGTGAGGATGGAGGGTAAGAGTTGTTGAATGGCACAAATTCTACTGGCTCCTTGAGGCACTGTAAGCTCTGGGTTGGAGGGGTAACCACTGGGGAGAGGACTGGGACCGATGGGCGGACAGTAAACCTTGGACATTCCAGGATCAACTTGCGCAGCTCCGGGATCGTGATTCTCTTTTGAGGATCACATTCAAAGATGCGTCTCAGGATAGCATTGAGTTCCACGGATAGTGGAAGGATTGTCCTTAGGAACTGTGGGTTCTTTAGATAGGCCAAGAAAGTAGGGTCCTCTGGAGAAGCTCGTTTCCAGGGGTTGCGGCCGCAAGACAAGTTGACCAGGATAACTCCAAGACTCCAAACGTCATTGGGAGCAGAAGCATACGCGGCTGGGGTGGATTGTTGACATTCTATTCCAACTGTTAGTCAGGGTAAAAAAAGAACCAGATCAATGGGAAATAAACACATACCAGGAGACATATAGAACGTAGAGCCACAGCCAAAGTCGGATGTATAGGCATCTGTTGTTGCGAGGCCGAAGTCCGCAAGCTTAACGTTCATCCCACGGTCAGACACCAGGATGTTTTCCGGCTTCAGATCCCGGTGATAGATCCCTATGCTGTGGCAGAATTCAACGGCATCCAAAATCTGGAGGAAGGCCCTCTTTACTAGGAAATCATTTCCTACGAAGTGGCCTCGTTCGGTGATATTGGAAAATAGATCGCCCTCTGGACAAAACTCGATAACAACAAAAGTACAATCATGAGAATCCATGATGCGGACCAAAGAAACAACGTTGGGATGATGGCTGGCCATATGATGTAGTTTGATTTCCCGTTGCTGGAACTTTCGCTGTCTGGGATCCAGGCCGGCCTTGTTCAATGCCTTGACGGCATATGGAGTATTTGTCTGGATGTCGATAGCAGAATATACCACTCCATAAGCACCTACACCCAGTATGCCGGTAAGCTCTAGTCGGTTGGCTAGGAGTAGCCCAAGTTTGTCCTCTGGAGCATCGCAATAGGAGACTGGTTGGGGTGACTGCGGTGGAGTTGGGAGATGCATGGCCTGTTATACCTCAACGGGGCAAAGCAAGTTGCGGACGTATATAGCTGTTTGGTTGGTTGATGGTAAAAGGAGAGGAAGGTAGAAGGGTATTCCAAAGTCCGGAGGTGGCAATGTGGTCCAAAATAAAAGCTCCCAAGAAAAGAATCAAGTAAACGAACCCTTTTTTTTTCGTCGACAACACCCGCAGAGAAAAGGGGTATATTAAAAGAGAGAGTGAGACGGTGAGAGAGCGGGATGATGTTCCTATGGCTCAGGTGTCCATCTGGCCCGTTATCGATCTTGAGAGGAAGGTAGGATAGGTAGGAGGCAGGGTGATATAAGGCACAAAACGAAAAAGAACGAAAGGTATATATATCTCTGCGGCTAAGTATGGTTTTGCTTGAGAAGGTTTAAGGTCCTTGTGGTTGGTTGGCTGGGAGGTCCAGAACTGGTGGATGAGGCGAAAAAAAAAAAGGGTAAAACGGCAGAGACGGGTATTTTTAAATCAAGGCGAAGCGGAGGCGATATGGGACTGGTAGGGGATGGCCAGGTAAAGAATTTAGGGCGATGATGACAGTCGTAGCAGAGGAGAGAATTAGGGAGAGCTAGTTCCAGAGCCGGAAAGAGGAGCGATAGGGAGAGGAGGGAGTTTTGGGTTTAAAGGACCGTGATCAAGACTTTGATAACAGGAAAAGGAACGTGCAAGGGGAGAAGAAATGGGGTGAATTGAAGGGCGAGACGGGAAGGATATAGATGACTATGATGATGATGATGAGTGTCCGAGCATGGATAGGTACATATAATCGGAGGAAGATAGAAATGCCGAGAGGGAGCAGCGGGCCTCCAAGGGTTAGTGTAGAATCGTCACTGCTCGCTCATCTCACACACAACTCTCCCTATCGCTGGCTGGGGGGGAGCAGGCAGGCAGGTGGTGGCGGGAAATACCTCTATCTGAGGGTACCGCAAGCGGCCTCGGGTTAAAGATGGAGATGGGCCATGATTGGTGCAGAGTCGGTCCTTCACGCAGCTTAGCTCCGTAAGAAACAAGGCGGACCAGGCTCCATGGGGGACGAGCGAAAGGGAACGCCACTGCCAGATGGTCCATGGGTCACACCTGTTGCAAAAGAAAAAAAAAAAGCAAAAGAGAAGGAAAAAGAAACGACGGGAAAAAGGAAGAAGAGAGAAGAGAAAGATGGAGATGTGTACAATATAACAGAAAAAAGCAAATCTGCAAGGCGCCCGCCAATGGCTAGTCTGCGCCAGCCATCCTCGCAGGAGCAAGACACTGCGAGCGAAATTGCGCTACTGTACTGCGCTGAAGCAAGCCTGGGGCGTGGGTCTTCCACACACTCTCTCTTTGGCTGATGCTGGGTGCCCTTCTGCTGCAGCTTCTGCCTTTCTCCGTCCGCTGAGTCCCCGGCTGTTATCCCCCCTTGATGCAGAGGGGAGAGACAGCGGGTCAATGCAGTGGCTGCATAGTAAAAAAGAGAGCAGCAAGAAAAACGAAAAGATCGTTTCCTCCCCCCCCCCCCCTTCTCCTTTCGCTCAGAAGGGCGCTAATCATGCACATCTGCCTCTCTGCTCACTGTTCTCTGTTGTCGTTCCTTTTCAGGTTTTCTTTTTCTTTGTCTCTTTTGAGCCCCTACCTACGGAGTACATAGTGCTCCGTACTCCGTATATGTTGTCGTAGCTTGTGCTCACACGAAGTTTGAGGTCGGCCATGGCTGTTACATAATCAAGGACGGCCAATGGGGTTCGTGGAGCATGTTGGCCCTATGATGAAACTAGCCGTGTCCACATCATATAGAAGACAGACTGCTTCTCCACCCTGGGATGTTTCGGCTGAATCAGGATTTGTTGACAACGGTTGCGTATGTATGAACGAGTTCTCTGTCATATAGGGCGATGGATGGTCGCGCTGAAGGTTAAAGGAGAAGATAGGCCAGCTTAACTAAGCGCCAATCTTTGGTCTTCCTGGCTACCCTTATTGGAAGCTGAATGGTGCCTTTTCCTTCTCGTTCCCTGACGTGGACCCTTTATTTTTTTTTGCGTCGACCTCCCAGTCGTAAGACGAAACAGGTCAAAGATCGATGGTGTTTTCTGGAACGAATCAAACGGCAGGCAAGATGGCAAATCGAGACACACGAAGCCAGGATACTGTGGACAGTGCCGTGTGGCCCGTGGAGATTTACCTTTACTTTACGGTGGAGCATGGCTGGCTTTCTTTTCTTCTTTCTCGTCTTCTTCATCTTCCTTGGGCTCTGATGTCAGCATCTCTGTCCAACCTGATCCAGAAAAAAGGCAGAAGAGTAAAAACAGTCCAGTTCGAAGGAGCAGCAGCAGAAGGAAAAAGAAACGAAAGCAAACACAGTTCAACAAGGGAAAGGGAAAGTTAATGCTGGTCTAGTTGGCCAGGCTTCGAGTATTACATTATGCAAGATGGATGTTGAGTGTGCATGGTTGTATACGGAGCATCGAGCATCAATCTCTGAGTGACTCCAAATTATCGACCCTGCTGCGGTGAGGCAAAACATAACCGTCATCTCTCAGATCAAAGCCTGGTTATGGTGAGCAAGAGTGAGAAGTTAGCTGCCTTGGATGCCCTTCTTCCTGCGTCATGATAGGCGGCGCTGCATAACGTCCTGCTCCCCCCGTCCTGGCCCTTGGGTTTTCATTCAACTAACTAGTTTAGCAACCCGCAGTGCAGGACAGAGAACAGAGGTGGCCGAAGGGTTGATTTGACGACGAGAAAGAGACTCGACATGCAGAGTTGGTGCGATGCGAGGCTTGCGGAGCTTCGGCATGCCCTGTGGATAATTAAGAGCAACGATGGGGAGGCCAGGAGGCTTGTGGTTCTTGGGTGGTGCACTTCGAAGCTTGGTCATGTTGATGATAGCCCTCTGGACACGAATCAAAAACAGTAAAAAAGAAAGAAGTCGATCTGTTTCCTTGGGGCTTGGATGTCCTTGCTTGCGTAGATTCCATCACTCTGTGTTGGCCTCGGGAACTTTGCAAAAAGCAATCTGATTCATATCATGGCTGTTATAAATTGCTGTGCTTCTTTTTTTTTTTTTTTTTTAGATTAAATTTTTGCATGCATGACACTGCCCCTGTACCATGTTGGATGATCGGGCTAAAATCTAACTGGTGACCTTGGGCCCTTTTCGAACACGGCTGGTGACCTTGTATTGGTTTCAGTGCAAGGATCGTGCGGAGAATCCCCTGGGCTTCAATAGACCATCACCATATTAAATGCAATTTCTGTCTTAACACGTATTTCTATTTCTGGCGGTGTCATCCTCATTCTCTGTCCACTTTAAGAAACTTTTTTTTGCTTCTTCTGTTGTTTCTGCTGCCTTGACGAGATTTTGACTGGAAAGAAGCCAGCTCAAGCCAACGTAGCCTTGTGCCTGATTCGCTGGAAGAGGTGGCTAGGAGATTATGCGAAGTTTATTGTGGCAATTGCCATTGGGTAGCTTCAGGGAGAAGGACACTGCTCATCTGATCTCGGTGATACAAAAAAAAAAAAAGTGTGGGAATTTCTTCCACGCATTCAGGAACCACCGTTCGGGTTGTTGGGATATGACTTGCTGGAGACGTCCTCCATCAGCTTGACTAATTCTCAGGAGATGTTGATGTCGGTGAAGGGACCCTTCTTACTACGGAGTCTCTCGTTTCCTATCCTGAGACTCAGCGGCTGCGCTCCCATTCCCTCGCAGTTTATTTCATCCGTATCCGTACTCTATGCAAAGACGCAGTTCAAGCTATTTGCATCAGCAGGTTGAGCCAACAAAGAATACTTCATGTCGTGGCAGTGGCTAGTTTCTCAATCCCTTCCATAGTTCTCTTTTGGTCAAGAGAAAGTACAGAGTAGTTACGTCCCAAAGAAGATGGAAAAGAGAACGTCAGTAGGAAGATCCCTGCCAAGACCTGTCGCCTCTTATCGACTTCTTACAGCGCATGAATGTCCGTTATCCTATGGGCTCGGTCAGTATTCTCCGTGGTCAAGGGCTGGGAGAAACCCTCCAGGGCAAGGCGCGCCAAAGCGATGGTTGGCCCAACATCCTTGAAGGGGGCCGCTAGTTGACGCTGACTAACAAGGAGAATAAGAAACTCGCGTATCCTTATCGATGATGGGAATTACCTGTCCTCCCTCTGCGACCGCCGCTCCCCACCCTTCCCCATACCATGGGCATCATCTTGACTAGCGCCAAAGAGTCATACACACTCTCTCTCCAACTAGCCCCAGAATAGGCAATTTTGCATTCATCATCCGAAGGAAAAGCAAAGGACGGAATGTGGCTGATTTTCTGTTCGTTGGCTCATGATGGACCCATCCCTGCAAAGGGTGCTTCGAGTCCCTCGCATAAATTAAGTTGAAGGTCCAAGCCAACAGAGGATACGTGGAAGGATGAACCTCGTCACGTCCTACTTACATCCTGCGCCTGTCCACCGATCTGTTTGGTGTGTGTGCGTGTGTCGGTGACGGGCTGTGGAGAGAAGCCAACAGTGGACAGAACCTGGCCTGGGACTCGAACATGGACATGGATACTCTTGACATGGGGCGGAGGGTGACTGAAAAGGGCAGGCCTTCGTCTTGGTTTCTCATCTTAACCATTTCAACTCCGTCCATTCACCCAGAGTCTGGATACGACTTGCTACCAAAGCTTGCTCTAGCTTGCCATCGGCGTATGAATAATAACGTACGCTGGACTCGAACCACCACCATGGTTCATTCGCACTTCCATGGGTGAGCCTAGTTCTTGGGCTGAGGCTCGTTCTCGTTCCGTCAGTGTGATAATAACCAACTCCTTGGGCCCTTTTTGCCTCGCGCGACCAAGTCACCTGGAAAAGAGAGTCGTTAGTTCTTTGACCAGCCTTTTCCATCACACATCTCGCTAGCTCTCGTTGGATAGAGGAGTGCTGCATGGAGCGTGGTCACTAATGTACGATATACATGAGTTATCACCATGATGTGGTCCCCACTGGATACGGCATTTCGTTGCATAATTTTAGCCCGCCACGCATAAAGACGCACAACCGGCAAGAGCTGGCTCCTGTATATCCGTATGGAGAGAGTACTTAGCCTGCTGATCTTGTGTAAAGCAGGAGGCACATCCGCCTGTGGGTTTAGGTAAACGAATATCAAAACTTCCTCCCAAGGATTTCACAGCTCCTTACGGGCGCTGATCGAAGGGAGATGTCGAGCGTTCGACGGAGTACAACAAGCACTGATCTCGCGTTATTCAGCCACTGGTTTGTGCATGGACTTGGCAAGCTGTTCGAGTCATCTCTATTTATATACACCCATTGTTAGCACACTATCTATATTAGACTCTCACTAATGCTCATCGAATTTCAAACTGGGCTTGACGTACAGGTCAAGATGGCAAGGGTTCGAAAAGGGGACAGATGGTCAGAAGACAGGTAGCGGAGGGAAAAAAGAGCGTTGAAAGTCAGGCAACCAGCTCCCTGACCTGGCTAGTACTGGATGGGCGTCGAGCTCCGTTTGTCTCAAAGAAGCCCTGTCGGCTATTGGCCCCCGTCGTCTCTCTATCAATCTCTGTACGGAATTATCGCCTCTCGTCTTGCTCTTCGACTTGCCGTCTTCTCGCGCTCTCTCTCTCTCTCTGGATGTTGTCTATTTTTGCTTCTTTCGGCCATCTCCTGTCTTATATAAGCATTATGTCATGTGATGCTTATTCATCATGTCCTTTCCCCTTTCGAGCCGTCCTCGTCCCCTTTTCTGCCCAGCCTCGGCTCGGCTCAGCTTCGGCAGTTTGACACCGCCTTTTCGTCCTCGCTTCAACTTCAACTTCGCGCCACCTTTTTGCTTCTTATCATCATCCTTTCATCAGCAACTAGCAAAAGGAAGAAAAAGTATGCAAGATGGAGCGTCAAGAAGGCTACTCTATATGGAGTACCCCATACTCCGTACATGGACGAGTTACATTTTATCCTGACGAGGTGAGAAAACACGGGTCGGCTGCAGTTTGGCCCGGATCATCTCTGCTCCAGCTATTATCTCTCATGTGAGTTATCAACATCGCTTGCGTTACGGAGTATTGGACTGGACCAAGAACGATCCAAGGGTAAAAAGAAAGGAGAGAGGAAAGCCACCAAGCACAGCCCTTCGTCTTGGATGGGAATAGTCTCGAAGGGGGTCGGAGAATTTGTCTCCAGTAGCGACGAAGCATCAATATTGGCCCTGACTACTCTGTATGGAGTCATTCTCCAGCCTTGGAAGGGGTTCCATTGCCTCGTATATGGAACGTTCCATTCGATCATCCTCTCTTTCGGCATCGCCATCGTTGCATGCAAGGCAAGGAGGTACATCTTTCACTTCTCCAACATGACGTTGCAGTTTCTTTCTTTCTCCCTTAGAAGAAGAAACAAGGCCTCCCAAGCTGCGCGACTGATGGTTGAATGGATAATATTTTAAGCGAACAAATTGGGAAGCTGGAAGAGCGCCTCCTTGCATCTTCAAGGACGGAATATCCGTATGTGAGTCGTGCCCATTGAGAACGTGCGAGGGAATCGATGGATTCTTTTTTTATCTTCAACTCCAAGATGAGGCCTTTTCTCCTACATCACTAGGCATGGGGAAATCACCCTTGACGGCTGCGTTAAAGTACTTCGAAATGCGAACACACTCCATCCCTTTTTTTCTGGCTGGAATGCCAACTATTTACGAATGACCGATTGGTCAGTAGTGGTATCAATGTGGATGATGCTGTTATCGCAGAGGCTACAGATTCAGCCCCAGCTCCTGTCCACTTAACCTTTTTTTTGTCCGTGCCGTGTTTGTCGTTTCAAGGTGGGCACACTTGCATACATACGCTCACCAACTATACTACTTTGCACTGGTCGGACGGGAAAGCCATGTGCGAGGTTGATGGTCAAGTCAAAGCAGGATTGTATACATGTCAGAAAAGAATCCTCGTATACTCTGTACTCCGTACAGATACACAAATTCTGTTGAAAGCGTGAAGCTTACAACATCAATGACCGAAAAGAAATACTTCATAAATCAGCAAGGATATGACTAAGTTGTTCCAGAATCCAGCAATAATGCTGTCGACATGGTGATGCTATACTTAGTATGGAGTATGGTATCCTCCGTATAGGGCCATGGAGTAATGATCTTCTCTATCTTCCAGGTAACAAGGCTTCCATTAGCGCACAGACACTCTAACTTCATGCATATACCGCAACTGCCATGGAGGGGAAATTTAATTAAAGAACGATATTAACCCTCGGGATCTCTCGACTGTCCTTGCAACCCGTTCCGTCCATGAAGGAGCAAGGGGCCCCGGTATCAAAGCGCAAGATTCAATTCGACAAGCATACTTAGTAAATTGGACAACCATAAGCTGCTGCCAGGGAATGGCTTGCACGTTGATCGACCGTGTTTCTCCTTTTGTTCCTCCCCAGCCTCCTTGGTTCGGCTCCCAGGGTTATGGAGATGGAGAGGTTGGTCGAAAATATAAGTAGCTATGTGTTTTAAATGTATTTACGCATCGAGTATCAATCCATGTTCGCTATTGCGCGATTGTCCCTTTCTACCCTTCCTCCTTTCCGTTTATAGTGGAGATAATGAACCAGCAGCAAGGACCTCTATCCACGCCAGTGTATCGGTTGAGCAGCAGGACGATGGGAGGAACATGCTCGATGAATGGCGTATGGAGTGCTTCATACATTCAAATACATACATTCACTGACTGACTGACTACATATGTGTGTGTATGGACAAAGTTGCATGGATTCTTGGGAAATACGTAAGATCCTGCTAGATATCAAGTCCTGAACCCTGGATGGATGAACAACAGTGATTGGAGGTTGAACGGATATAGAAAAAGGAAAACACACGGCAGCATGGACATCTCTTTTTGCACAGAGAATGGTGTCTAAGTGTAGGGAGTTAATATGGGCGGGTGTGTCGAGGTATATGCAACCACGGAGCACTGCAGGCGAGATAGAAGGTTTTCATGCAGATCAAGATATGGATATCGGGATGTTGGTTATTCAGCCCGTGTTTTTCTGCGCAGTCACGGCTTACATAGTTAGATCAATCTGGAGCTTCAAAAGAAATTCAACAACATCTCGATCAGGCCTGGAGAAAAGCGGCCTTGACCATGTGTTTGCGCTGCCTGTCTCTCACTGTAGATGTCAGTTCAATGTATGATTGGTTTCATACCAATAATACCCCCTTCCGGTCCCCCTTCCCAGCCTTGGAGGAGTCGTCATCAATGTCCAGCCTTCACCTTCGCTTGTCTCTATCTTCTCCCAAATACAGAAGAAAAAGTTGATGCTACATCCTCGATACCCAGACTTCAGCAACCTTAATGAACCGGTGACCGGCCTCTGACAGACGGGATGATTATTGGGGGGTCTCCTCCATGCCCTGTGCATGTCCCGTCCCTTTTCTTTTCCCTCAGGGGCTGTCGAAGAAGGTTGGCCTGAAGAAAGGCAGGCTTGGGTCCTAATTTGAGAACAGATATCGATTTCCCTTCCCGCGATACGCAATTCAGCGTGTTGAAGGTGCAGTTTTGGCCACCTGCACTGCTATCAGATGTTCCACGAGGTAGTTCCAGGCCCAACAATGCATCTGACATTCGTGCGGACGATGCACAGCTTCGGTTTCGTCCGTGTTCTTGGCCTGGAGAAAGAAGTTTGATATCCCACCCACTCCTATTCATGGAGACAACACTCTCCCCTCACACCCGCTACAAAATAAAAGAAAACTCCCCAGTTTATTTCTTTTCTTTTCTTTTTTTCGCTATTCCTCCCGTTGTCTGTTTGTTTGGAAACTGGCCTGTGGTTGCTTTTTTATTCATTCCCAAACCCAAAAAGAGAAGAGAAACCTCAGCTCGGGTTTCTCCTTCTTGCAGTTTACCATCGACCTGGCTCTCCAATAAGACGCACAGATCTCGGTTTGAGCTGCCCTGGGCATCAATCCATGAATGACCTTTTCCTTCCTAGCCCCGATTAGGATATGGGCCTCAGGATAGCAGATATCTGTGCAACGTCGTGTTAACCCTATCTCAAGAGTTGCGGGTAAAGTAATATCCCAACATACAGGGTAAGGTGTTATCCTTTCATCCTTTTTCCCTCAGAGAGGGTGGGGGGCGGTCTTCCTTAGCTGAGAGAAAGATGTGACTTGAGAGAGATCCTGAGTTAAACTTGAGCCTTTCCCCCCTTCCTCTTATGCATCTCCTGATCAGCTATATCACCCACCAACCTCCCTCATATTGCTTGAGAGTACACTATTCAAACGGTGACACGTCGGTCCAATGAGATCGCATGTGAGGACTTGCTACCGGTCTTCCCGTCCACCGAAAAGCCCGTCCAGCCACGACCTATGCAGTGACACGAACCTTAAAAAGGCACAAGGTGTTTGGATAGCTCCGATACATTTCCTAGCAGCCAAAGAAAACCATGGCCCCAGATGTGTTTGTTTGTTTGTTTGTTTG